GGTGTTCTCTGCAGACTCGACTTTCCTGTCTCTTTTTGTGGGTATGGGAAGTATCTTGAGGAAGGTCTTGTTGAAAGTACTTGAAAGCAGTAAACGTTCCTACTCTTAAGTCTGGGAACTCACTGAGGAGTTTGTGAGGAGTACCACAAAGTACAACTTGAGGTAGTTCTCAGGCTTTCTGGATGAAGGTAAATGTGAGTCACCCTGCCCTTGCAGTGGCGCTGATTTGAGTGCCGCGGATGCCTGTTCCTGGGATGTAGTTACCTGGAAATGGGTTGGCTCAGTACCTGGGAAGTGGCTGTTCTGAGGACTGGCAAAGGATCTTTGAACTTGACACTGCAAAGCTCATGTTGGTGTTATCTTGTGTAACCCCTACACTTACAGTAGGCCTTTCTGTCCGGCAATAGCCCACACACCCAAAAGAGTGTTCTGTGCCCTTATGGGGAAGCTGGCAAGGTGAGCAGGGTTAGGTGATCGCAGGGTGTCTGAACTGTAAACCTGGGCAGAACAGGACAAACCTAGCAGGTCATGTGACTATCACCTGCGTTTTCTTCAGGTTATCCCTGTGTGACCTTGCGGGGTCAGAGCGCTGCAAAGACCAGAAAAGCGGGGACCGAATGAAAGAAGCAAACAACATCAATACCTCCCTCCACACGCTGGGTCGCTGCATTGCTGCCCTGCGCCAGAACCAGCAGTCCAAGTGCGTATCTGAACTCCACAGGGAGTGTGTGGGGAGGCTGTTTTGCTTTCCCATGGGCTCACTCTTGTCTCGCCCCACAGATCAAAGCAGACTGTAGTTCCCTTTCGGGACAGCAAGCTAACCCGTGTGTTCCAAGGTTTCTTCACTGGACGTGGGCGCTCTTGCATGATTGTCAACATTAATCAGTGTGCATCTACATATGATGAAACTCTGTATGTAGCCAAGTTCTCAGCCATTGCCAGCCAGGTAAGTAGCACACACCAGAATCATGGCATGCTCAGGATACATCCTGCTTCCATGGGAATGGGTCCTTTTCCATCACAAGGCAGGGAGAATGCTTGCAAGCCTTCCCTGTGCTTCTTTAGTGGATTATTACCTTTACAGCTATCTCCAGATTATGCTAAACTGAAAGGGTAGAAAGGTTGTAGGGAAGTGCCATGTTTAAAGGCTACATAACTTCCAGGTTTTGTGGACTATTAATGATGGCCTTTTCCCCTTTTCAGCTTGTTCAGGCACCTCCCACAAAGCTGGGACTTCCGTCCATCCAATCCATCATTAAAGAGCACAGCAGGCGAACCAGCCAGGGTCTAGAGGCAGCCACAAAGGAAGACGTGGAATCAGAAGAGGACAGTGAGGATGAAGCAGATGTCTCCATGTATGAGAAGGAGGTGGGCTGTGATTTGTTTTATAGCCTTTATGGATAGAGGGGCAAGAACATGACTGTTAGCTTTGGCCTGGGAGCTGTGGCTGGAGCTCAGCACTATACCAAGAGATGACAGAGAACCTCAGAAGGATTTGGGACCCAGGAAATTCAGAATCAGGAGGAAAACATTCCACAGTTGGTCTAAATCTGAAGCACACGGTTAATTTGGAAACACTTTGTCATCTGTAGAATGGAGACAGTAAGAGCTCAGATGCAGACCCATCACCCCTGCTCTACAGAAAACAGGCAAAACAGATGGCTAAATTAATTGAGGAAAAATAAACTTCTGAGGTACTCAAAGTGGGCAGCTGGAGTAGCTGAAAGATCAAGATGGAAGTCATATACCTACAGAAACTCAAGTTGTAATGTGCTGAGGCAGCAAATGCAGGTGCAGCCCTGGGCAGTGCAGTACGGGAAGCTGCTCTGGAGACAGCTCCACCTGGAGTGCAGTGTAGTTTAAGCCATTTTATGGGAGAGGAATTAAGAGCAAACCTGTCAACTTCTCTTTCCAAGTGACTAGAAGAATCTTAAACCTGTATCATCCCAGCCTACAGATATGAGATCAGCTAGATCAGCTAGCTTCTTCCAGGTCTTAATTCTGTTGTGCAGCGTGGGCGATGGAGTTTGTGTCCTTCTTGCAGGACTTGCTGCGTGTAGTGGAAGCTGCACGAGAACTGCTGGTGCAAGAGCGGCAGGAGAAGCTGCAACTAGAAATGCGCCTCCGTGAGGAGATCTGCAATGAGATGATGGAGCACATGCAACAGAAGGAGCAATGGTGCAGGTACAGCTTATGCTGATCTCTCTGCTCAGAGTGAGCTATAGCACCAAGAACTGCCAGACCCTGACTTGCAGTTTTCTCTCTGTAGTCAACATGTGGATGCTCAGAAGGAGCTGCTGGAGGAATTGTATGAGGATAAACTGAATAACCTGAAGGAGTCACTGACTGACTATTACCAGGAGGAGATCCAGGTTTGTTCAGGGCAATAAAATGATATCAGGAAAGCGGCAGTGGGTTGGGAAGGGACTTGGGGTACTTGAGTCCAGGAAGGTGACTTATGCAAACTGAACGATTTTGCTTTTTGAGATTTTTTTTGTGTGTTATTATTTGATAGCTTGATCCACAACTTTCCCCTTTTGTCTACTGCTTTGTTGTTCACTAGGCTTTCTAATTTTCAGCCTTTAATCTGGAAGCTAAGGTGCAACCATTCTGACCCCTCTCTTTGTTCAACATGATTCTCTTCTCTCTTACTCTTTTTGCTAGTGGCTTGCTTCTCTTCAGATTAACACAAGTTCCGTGAATTTCTCTTTGTACTGTTAGTTGTGATGATCGCTATGGGCCTGTATATTTTTCATGCTATGGCATTTGAGTAGCCTCTGAGACTTGTTGCAGACCTCTCTGAAGATGCCAACTCTCAAAAAATCCCTTGTTTTTAGAGGCTATAAAAAGTGGTTTAGGCTCCCAGGAAATGGGGTCACTGTTTTCACTCAAAGGACATTAAAGGCTGGTGTGAAGTGTGTGATTGAGAAAGTCTCCCAGAAGAGACACTGAACGTTCCAGAAAAGCTGTGTTAAGAAAATCTTGTTTAACACTTGAAAAAACTTGCTTTCCAAGGAGCGTGATGAGAAGATTGAGGAGCTTCAAGCTGCTCTGCAGGAGGCAAAACAAAAATTGGAGACCCTGGACATTAAACAAAAGGATTCAGGGCAAGGCTTGCGTCGATCAAAGCGAGTGGCTACCTCCTGCGCTCTGCAACAGGAGCTGGCAGATACTAAAGCCAAACTGGAGCAATGTCAAACGGAGTTAAACACTGCAACAGCAGGTAAGGCAGCGATGCTGCCCTGGTTCTGAACTATGCCTGAGCAATCCTTGTAGAGGGTTAGAGATACTATTTTTTTGAGTTCATTAGATTCAGACATCCTGAACCCACTATTCTGAGTTGCAGATGGTAGGAATAATGTGCCGGATGGACAGGCTTTCACTTCATTTTCACATGAAAATGGACTTTAGGGCAGGATCATCTCCCTCTTCAAATTCTAAAGTCCCTTTGAGTTACGCAAAGTGAGAAACCTGGAATGTTTGTGAGGGTCGGCACAAACTCAAAGCTTTTCTCATCTTGCCTGTGGTGGCTTGTCTCAAGGGAAGTCCTGACTTCAGAAAAACTGGAAGCTTATGATGTACTGTCGCTCACTACTTCTTGTCTGTTTCTAGAGTTGCGCAAGTACCAGAAATTACTGGAGCCACCTCACTCTGCCAAACCTGTTACTGTGGATGTAGACAGGAAGCTGGAAGATGGACAGAAGGTAACTCAGTCTCTGTTACACAAAGGAATGTTTGCAGGGCAAGGTGGTTGCCAGTTTAAATGGTGTTTAGAGCTGCTCTTTCCAGGTTTTTAAACAAATGGTTGAAGTTGAAAAGGGTCTGTTGTAAACAAATCTTTTACTAGGGATGTGGAGGTTGTTGGTGTCTGTGATCCCAGCGTACCTCACTCTGAGGAGATCCTCCCTCAGTATTGCATGTCTGAATTACCCTGGAGTGGCTTTGTTTGCAGAGCAATATCAAAGCTAGCTGTTCTATTAAATCTTTCTCCTGTAGAATGTCAGATTGCTGCGTTCAGAATTACAAAAGCTTGGGGAGTCTCTTCAGTCTGCAGAGAGGGCGTGCTGCCACAGTACAAGCGCAGGAAAACTTCGAGAAGCCCTCTGTACATGTGATGACATTCTGGCTAGACAGGTAATGTGTCTGCGTTGTTGTGGGTTGCACAGGGGGATTTAGTCTATGCACTTTGCCATAATCAGCAGAATAACCTAAGTTCTTGCAGTTGCAAATAAAAATGACTTGGTATCTAGACATACACTGTTTATTACACTAAGGGAGCTATATTGCTGTTTTTTTCAATGGCTGAATCAGACTGCATATTCGACTCTCCAAAGGAGATCCAAACTGTTCCTGTCAGTTAACTGACAGCCTGCACTTGAAGTAGGAGAATTTGGACTTCTCACTTCCTTATCTGCTTCGCTCTGCCACAGTTGCTATGGCAGCATGTTTGCAGCAGGATGGATTCAGGTTTTTCCTAGACTGTTTTGTTATTGAACTGCTACACTGTTGACAGTATAAGCTTTTATGCAAGGCCTTATTTAGCATTCCAGTTAGTGAATTTTGGCAGTTTATCCTCTTCAGTTCATAGTAACCAGGGAGTTAGGCAACTTGTCATATCTTTATATATATTGCCTTCCCTTTCTCAGGACCAAACACTGGCAGAACTACAGAACAACATGATGCTGGTAAAACTAGACCTGCGGAAGAAAGCCGCTTGTATTGCTGAACAGTACCACACCGTGCAGAAGCTCCAGGCTCCTCCAACATCTACCTTAAAGAAACGGTTCTGTGCCAACAGGGAAAACCTACAACCTAATCAACCTCCTGGTAAAAAGCCCTTCCTGCACAACCTTCTGTCACGTTCAGCTACGCGTCCTGTTGCTGGCAGAGGGTGGCAACTTCGTTCAGTTGCTCTATGACTTTTCACAGAGACATCCCTGCCCTGCTACTACTGGAACAGGTGGCAAATCCAGTATTATAGTATCTATTTTTCTTTGTGCGCTTGTTTATTGTTATTGTAGCTGCTTGAGAGCTTATGTAAAGATTTTTTGATATGTATGGTTAAACTTTTAATTGATACCAAAGTGGACAAAATGACCTTTTGTAATTTAAACACTACAACAAGAAAAGTCTTTAAATATAAAATAATGCGGATGATCAAAGTTGTTGAACAAAAAGACAAGTTAAAAGTGAGTTCTCATCTTCAACTGTGTTGGCACATAATTCAAAAATAAGTTCACAAGATCCTCCTTGAAAGATGTTTTCCCTTCCTTGAATTATAATCCTTTATTAAAGTATACACGTTCTAGTTCAGGGCTGTTCTCTTGGATCTTGGCTTGCAATTCTGGCTCCAAGCGTGTTACAGACATAGAACTAAGTAAAAGAAACAGTAAAATGGTTATATATAACAAGCACTTGAATGTAAAATAGGATGGATGATGCATCTGGTTAAACTTCCTAGACTGTGAAAAGGGTTTTCAGATCTCTCTTTTTAACTTATGAAGGAATCATGCTCCCACAGACCAGGGGCAAATGAATCCCTGCTTAAAAGGCAATAAGATACTCTGCAGAGTCAAGAAATGGCTGTTGCTACAAACATGAGGGTAGGAATCTACTTAGTTGCTTGAGGCTGTTGCTGGCAATAGAAACTTAACTTCCTAAAAGTGTTTTTACTAAATATAATGTATTTGCCTATGAACTTACTGCTTGATTTTATTCAGTTAAATAAAAGGTTTATTTTTCTAAGAGTCATCTCACAATACAGTGAATTACATGACCTGGCAGCTTAAACAGCTGCACTTTCTTAAATACAGTTTAAAGTTTAGTCTTCCTATGAAACTGAGCACCTTGGTTAAAACCAAGAACTGTACCACACTTGCTATGCTAGTTTTAAAGTGTTTTTTTTTCAGGTAGCCTAGTGACACTTTTTTACCACAATTCTATGCCAGGCAGAGAAATAGATGGTGTCAGACTGCTTTGTTGTACTCGAGCAAATCAGATAAGAATTAGATATTGTTTTCTGAAAGTCAAAAGCTACTTTAGTTGCTCAATATGTTAATGGATTCAGTTCCAGCTTGCATCATTTAAGTCACATTTGGCAGCTTGCCAAGTTTAGACAACCACTAATAATAGGAGAGGGACAACTTAGTTGAATTTAGACCCTGTTTGTCCTGCATACCACAAAGTGAGCTAACTTTATTTGTAGGTAACCCATCCAGGTTTCATTATGATTTCAGCTATAACAAATATTGCTTCTAAGTTTTCAGTACTGAGCTCTTTGTGTATTGATGAAAAATTCTTTCTGGAAAAATATTAATCAAATTACAAATAAGCACATATAGCCAAGTGCTGTTCTGTATAACCAGAGGAGCTTCCAGCTGTACTTAATGAAGGCACAACTTTACTGAACATGAATATATTGTTTGGACCACATTACCCTTTTTATGAATCATTCCAGTGATTCCTAACTGTATTATCAAGGTCAAACTTCTCAGCTTGAAATAGCATGGTTAAAATATCCAAACCTCTCATTTGTTATCCCTATGTGGCTGCATCTCTGAAGCTGCTAGGAGCTTGTAAACAAATGAGCCCAATTCAGCTATTATATATTACTGATGAGTAACATAGTTATTACTTTTCTGAATATTCTCAAGTTTATTGCACTTGTTACATGGGAATTAAGACTGTATGCTCTAGGAGGCAATGACCACTTGTTTCTGTCTTTTTGCAGTACCTTGCATGCATCTTGGGAGTGTAACGTTAAGAATAATGTAACAGGAATACGTACCTTTTTTGAGGAAACAGTGCACAACACAGGGGTGTTGCAAACACGAGACTAGAGGAGACAAAAATGAGTTTACAGTGTTTAGGATGCTAAAAGAAAATTTAAAACCTTTAGGCATGGTATTCTAGGCAGAAAGACTTTTTTTGTATACAGTGATGTAAAGTTTTACAAAGTGCTATGTAACCTTATTTCTTACTGCATTATACCTTATTAAATCAATTACCTACTATGTAGTACTAAATGCATCAACACCATGCTTGCAAATGTTTATAAAATTATGATTTCATGTCCTTTCTGTGGTTTGCATTTGTATGCTGGACAACAGCAAAAGAAACCCTCCATTAACCAAATGTTTCAAGAACTCTTCAATCTACAGCATTAGATTCCAATTATTGTTTACAGCAGTAGTAGCCAAAGCATCTTTTTTAATCAAGCTGCTACATGCCTTTTTTGCCACTCCCTTTCTCCCCCCTGCCCTGGCTTTTCTTGGCAGCTTCTTCATTACTAATAGCTTTTTAAAAATACATTATCAGTTATAGATACAGAAGTGAAGTAACTGCTGTAGTCTCATTAATTTCTCAACTCAGTAGAGAAGCAATTTCTGCAGCTTCTTTATTGCTTCAACATAATTTTTTTCTTTAAACAATGTGCAAATATTGCTACTTCCTCCACAAAACCTATAGGTATATCTTAAAATAGCAGACACAACCCCAAGAAATCACTTACCAGAATCCGACTAATCCAACTTGAATGGGAGCACTCATCCAAGGAAATCTCTGTGAAAAATAAACCATACACAGTGAGCACAGTATCTTTTCTCCCCACTTTCCTGAATTCTTGTAAGAAATAGATTGTGCCTAAAAGGCTCTTGGACATGATGAAGGCAAAACAATTACCAGCATACCTTAAAGCTGAGCTCCAATTTGATTGCTCAATCCCTTTGAAAAGTAGTAAGAAAATTCCCAGTGATACCAGTGTAAACTGTTATCCTGTCCCTTAGAAACTACAATACGTGGTTGACTGTTCTACTTACAATCTGATCCTGAGTTCGTGGGCCATTTCTTTGAGTCACACAAGCCCACAGTAGCTACGACCACAGCCAAAGTTTGGAGCGGTGCTGTAGGTGTAAGGTACTGCCACACCTTCTAAGGGCACAGTGAATTTTGCCCAGGCATCTCTAAAAGCTAGGTCTGGTTACAGCTCCTGTCTCTTCAGTGACATCAAATAGTTTTAACTGACAACTGAAGATTTACTTCGTGAGCAACTGCAGCCACCAACCATAAATAAGGGAGGTGTCAAAGAAAAATGTAAGCTTGCCTCTCTCAGCCCTTTCTCCTGTCTCATGATTTGCTTCAATGTGTAGGAACTTGCCCCTGTAGCATGGTCTGGTACGCTCCAGTTCTGCAAGAGTTCATCTTTTATTAAAGGAAAAAAAGGTAGAAGAATTGGGGAAATAAAGGTGAAAAAGCAACATATAACCTATGGATGCATTTTTAGCATATTCCTCATTACTGTAACTTGCAGAACTTGAACATATGCCATGAAACACGATAGTTTTCTTGTAGGTTTTAAATGATTTTAGGAATCCACTCCCCCCAGGTTAGAATTTTAGTTGAAATTAATCAAATAAACCAGACCTGTTTAAATGACATTGCTGCACCGGCCTTCTATTGCTACAATAAAATCAGTGTCTCCAGTAAGTAGGACATACACAACTGCTATGGTAACAGGAAGTTGATTTTAAAACAAAACAGCTAATGAGTTAAAAAAAATCACACATCACAGTGGATGATGTTTTCAACAAAGACGATGTTTTTTTCTGCAAGAAGCATTTCTCAAGATGTAGAAGTTAGAGGGTAAACTGGTGAACAAATATGGGCACTATTTGAGAGTAGTAGAAAAAAGAAATTTAGAAAGCTTAGTAGGACAAAGCTTGATGCTAAGGAAGATCATAGCAGTGCAAGAGGCATGGAAAACAAGCCTGTGTGAATTAAACTTTCTCCAGAGCCTGAGGGAGAAGAAGTGATGTAGAAGATTGCTTCTTTTTTCTTTTTTTTTTTTTTCCCCTTCCTGAAGTCAATCTGTACTCCAGAAATGAGTGCAGGAAGAACCATGCAATTCAGCAATAACCTGCAACAATAGATAAAAAATGGAAAAAGAGAGCAATAGCAAGAAGGATAAAGAGTGAATGCAGCAGTGCTCTGCTATTCTGGCAGTCCACTAAACACACCTTCATTTGACTCTCGGCTGAGATAAATTCACTCAAAATGCTTTACATTTTATACATTGGGGGAGTTCATGATGAAATGGTGTGACTGGTAGTGGAAGCGATGTAGGACTGTGGCACTGGTAAATATTACACGTAGTTGGGAACAAGTCAAACTCAATTCTGAGGAGAATTGAGAGGGATGCTATGCATTGCAGTGTGAGCGTGGGACCTGAGAAATGTAACAGAAAAGCCCCAAATATGATTTTATAACTGAAAAGACTGTTAGAGGGTGTCATGAGAGTAACAGATGGTCTCATGCCCTTATCAGAGTTGGTCATTAAATCAGAAAGGGGTGTGTCCACTAGTACAGACAATATAAACAACACCTATTTCATGTGGTGGAACATCTTTTGCCAAGGTACTTGATCGGAGTTACAGCCTTTATTTTTCAAGAAGGTTACCAGGCTGCACTAATCAAGAAAGATGATGAGGTAAAACTCTAACACTGGGAGATCAACATTAAGAATTGGAGTTGCCCAGGGAACAATGTAAAATGATAAAGCAAAACTCAAATGCAGGCTGCACATCCCTACAAAGAGATAAAATGGAGAAGTACAAGTCAGCAGAATAATTTACTGTGTTAGAGATCTATTGTTTAACTCTGGAAGTAGGCAGTTCCTGATGAATTAGGATTTAATTTCCAGATGTTTTTAGTCGTTAGTGCAAACAGAGAAAATGGAGAAATGATAATTAAGCAAACAAAAGCCATAAGGAGAATCAGCTTTTTTCTGACTGCTTCTTTTCATTGTTGGATCTCAAAATCTGTCAGCTTTCCCAAGCGAGCTATGCCTGTTTTCAAAAAAATGAATAAAGGAAAGGACAGTTAAATTAGAAATGCATGGAGGACTCTAAGGAGTAACACATTCAAGAACGATGCTTTTTGCCTTTTTTTTTTTAAAAAAAAAGGCTCCCTGTTCTAGTTTCATAACAGTTTTGAATACATGTTTTAGGTGCAAACTAAGAGACCTCAAGGAGCTTGTTTTAAGGAAATGCGAGGAAATTGCTGGAATCAACTCGAATGTTAATACAGTATGTAGAACAGGAGAGAAACAGTAGCTGAAGCTGTAAGAGTAGTAATATAAATTAAAATTTTAGTGTCAACTGGAATTTTCAGAAGCTTCTATGGAAAAAAACAATTTATTTCCTTAAGAGAAAGGTTATCTGTAACTAAAATAAATTATAAATGCTGTGCCTCAGAGCAAGGTTGTTTATAGATCCTTCTGCTGCAGCAGATAAAATAACTTGGTTCTGCACAGAGCTAGTTAAATGTATGTCAGCAGAGATAATGAACGTAGACATTATACAGCCCAATCAAGAACTACTACGCTGCGTAATCGCACAAAAGGCAGCCGAAGCCACTGCTGAAACCTGTCGCAAAAGCACGTGTAAACATATTTTTTCAAGTTAAAAAATAATTAGATTCTTTTTCAAGCAGCAAGTATGTGCTTGTGTTCTAAAAACATTCTTGAGTCATATTCTAGCAGTAACTTTTGGGAATATTGTTAATTGATACTAATGTTACCATCAAAATGTTCTTGTGCAAAACACCGTCATAACGTGGAGGATGAATAGTGCTAAATAACCTACATCTTATTTCAAATATCAGAGAATGATGGTCTGCTATCACTGAGACCAGAGTTCCAGAAGCATTTCTTTATTACTGCAGAACATCATTCTATTTTCTTCATTATTCCACAACCATTTGACTATTTTCTGGCCTTGTGTGTTGCTTAATAGGCTTTGGCAAGTGTACATGAATTATTTTCAAGAGTGATGATGTGCAAAGCAAAGGCTAAGGATAATGAGTTAGTAAAGCACTTTGTGGATGGTGTTGGAGTACTTGCAAGTGGGATGGTGCTTCTGAAACCTCAAGAGAACATGCAAAAGCTGCTTGTTAAAAATGCAGCTCACTCCTTAATGGTTTTAATACTAATCTCTACCAAGTGTTACCACTGACTACCTGCACAGCAGTGTTTCACCTGAACTCACAGTCTTTGAGGCTGAGGGGTAGGAACAGGTGAGCATAAACGGTCATGATGGTACCAGAGACCACTGAGTAGTCACTGAAGAAATCACTCATTTTTGCTGATCTGAAAAATTCACAACACCCTTATATTGATTATACCACACAAAACCAACAGATATTTGTCTCCAAACACTGAGAATTGTTGCAGCTTCTTCACAAATGACACGTATTTGCCAGTTGAGTTGATAGCATTTGTGACATTCCTCCCATGTCAAATACGTATAAAATACTCTTTGCTCTAAATTTATGAGGTGTTTGGGGTTGTTTTGTTTGGTTCACCCCCAACACCCCCTCCCCCCCAAAAAAAGGGGGTTAGTGTTCCGGGTAATACATTTTCAAGAACACAACAGTATCACAAGCTGCTTAAAGCTACTCTACAAACAGACTATGGGTCAAAAGAAATCAGCAATTAAGAATAAACCAACTCAGCATAGGGCTTTTTATACTGCAGACAAATAGTGTATTTGGATAAATGATGTATTTGGATGCACTGCAGTCTCACTTCTTCCAGGAGACATAAGCAGCACACACTGACTTTCACTCTAAAACTCAAATGCCACATTTCCTGTTTTTACATTCTGTGCAATAGTGTTTTCTGTTAACAAGGGGTGGGGAGAAGCAAACCCAAGCACTTTGGGAAACAAAGTTTTTAAAATTGGCAGACATTTGGGACCTCTTCCCCATGCCTCATTTATATAGAGAGAATGGTATACGTAACTGGGTAATCTAACTCTGCACAAGAAAAATGAAGGGCAGAAATAATAAGAAATATAACTTAAATATTTTAGAAAGCTTTATCTCCGACAAACGAAACCAGGCAACTTCCCCTGTTTGTCTTCTCAGTCCCCACCCAAACCACTACTCCAAGAGAAGGTCTGGAAACTCAGACCACACTTTCTTTTCCCAACTTTTTCTAACAGGAAGACGACTATTGTTCCCAGCTTGTTGGGTGAGTTTGTCAGGCAGAGACTTTGTCTGGAGCTATGCAAGTAAATCAGAGATAATCAGCTGATGAAGATGGAACTCCCTTTACTGGTAAAGAATTATAGAGCTCCTCACTTGAATATAACACTGCTCTCTTGTGTTAGACAACCCTATAATTAATTTCATTATTATTCTTTACCCTCTCATGCACACACACTGCATAATGTTGATTTAGTGTATATATTTACTAATGGCAGGTGTTTGTCTACACACTACATTAGCATAAACAGAATATACGAAATGTGTAATCTTCAATGAAGCATGACCATTCTACGCCTACCCTGCACTTGCTCATTCAGTAAATTTTAAAAGGGTTATTTCAAAAGAGATTTTTATCATTGTTGTTTCCAAAGTCAAATTGCTACTACAGCAGCTAAACAAAGCCTCCTTATTGATATTCCGAGAAAAAAGCATTATAAAATTTTAAAATATTTTTCTAATAAACTGTATTCCAAGTCTTGGTACAAGAAAAGTTTATTTACTAGAAGGAACTCTGCATTTTAAGAACAATTACAAAAATAACAGAAAAGTCAATATTTTATTATTGTTATTTTACACGGTGATAAAAAGAACCAAGCTATCTCTAACAAAGGCATAAAGAACATGCCAGCTGTGAAGTAAGCTCTATGGTGATGTCCTCCCAGAGTGGAGGCATATTTGTGAGACAAATATGAAGACTCAGAAAGTATTTTCAATGCATAAAATATCAACTTAAGATATGAAATACATGTGTATAGATTATCTAAGACTTACCTTTAAAAAGGCTCTCTTTTCCAATGTATTCATTATGAATGGCGGAATTGCTGCAAATGAGAAAAAAAATAAGAGAGCATTAACCATGGAGAAAAAGGCTCTTGGTTTTCATTTTCTTTAAAATGAACTATATCACAATGCAATTTTCACAGCTGTTTGCCATTAACTGAGCTTTCATTTCACATTGCCAATTCAAGACATCGGATTGGTATTTTCAGAGGTAAATTCTCCCAATAAGAGACACTTCTAATATCACACACAACTAAACCTGAGCTCAGCAGTTTGGCACTGGTCAAAGCACCTACTCTTCCCTAAACTAACACTCAAGCAGAATTTGCTACCATTCCTTTGCTATCAGTATATTTTCTGCAAGAGCATCCCAGGAGCTCTTCTGCTGCACTTCAGTGGATGTTTTCACAGCAAGAAATGTACATTTCTCTGTGGAACAGAAATGTAAATACTGCCTGCATAGCTGTAAGATAATTTGGTCTCTGAGAAAAATCACTTGTATCTCTCTCACATTAGGAACTACACGATTGCAGTTATTCTTACCCATGCCAGGAGCAGCCATAAGAATCCTTGATATAACCACCTGGGTAATTGCCTGCTGAGCTGCTTTTGTTGATTCACCCAGTCTGTTTCCATTTTCATCTGTGACGGGGATTCCAAACTTGAGTTCCCTGTTGAATAAGGGGTAAAAATAAAACAGTAACTGACTGGTATTTATCCACCTTTTTTGTCACCTTATCTTTCTCTCCTTAAAATTGTCAATTAAAAGAATTAAGGTTTTTGTTTTATTTTCAAGGTAGCCTCTTTGTAACACTCTTTGGCAAAAAAATATCAAAAGGTAGTGAAAAATTTTGGGAAAAATATGCTGAAAAGTGAACAATTGAATGTTTGTAACAGCAATCTGCCACTTGAGCCTGGCCACATGCATTTCAAGGGGGAAAAAGGTTCTTTCAAAAAGCAATTCAGAGAAGTGGAATTTTCTGGACTGCTCTGGAAGTAGTCTGTCCTTTCCCACAGACAACACAGGGAATACAGGAAGATTTGTTTCACTGAACTAAAACGTAAGTCTTTGTGAAAATTCCCCTCTGGCATTCCAGTCTGAGTTTTCATTTCAATCACTAAGAACACATATGAAAGTATACAGCATGCACAAAGTGAACTATGTTTCTGTAACTGTACCATTGAAGTTCAGGATTAGGTGTTAAACTCACACACTGCAGAAGACTTCTAGGGGAGTGGCAAGTGGAGAGAAGGGCAGATATACTGAGGACTGCTCATCTTTTATAAGAGATAAAATACTACCACAGATTGAACCTCATTGTGAATATAAGCTTTAAATATTCCTTTTTTTTTTCCCCAAATCTTGTGTTTATGAGGATGCTTTTAATTTGTTTTTCCCCACTTCTATTCTTAGTCTTGGTCAAATCAGAATACATATGAAATTTTGTTTCTGAGAAAGTGCATATTTTTGTAATCTCAGGTGATTAAACAGAGCTGCAGAGCCTGACTTCTACAACTAAATTCTGTATGTGGGATTTGAAGCATCATTTTTGAAATGACTGTATTTTTCTAAAGTGGAGTTTGTATTTAAAGGGTCCATGTTATCATGTCTTGAAGGACTGGTACTTGGTTTCTGAGATCTAAGACTGAAGAACTTTATGGATATTTATCTGAAGAGAACGAGGATGTTCTATTTTGTACCAGTCGATCAATCAATCAAAACAAGATCATGCATGAGGTTTTGGCAAGGTTCTGAACCAAGCCAAAGATACATAATATGCTTTATTTAGTAACTTGCTGATCTAAAAACTCAATAACATCATTTCTTGTAGAATGAGTGATCTTTGTTCTTTTTCCTACCTTTGTCTCATTAGTGGAATATTAATGCAGTTAGCAGCAGCAACAGCAGCAAAAGGAACAAACCGTCCTATAAGAGGTGAGACATGCTGTAAAAAACAGAGTGGGGGGGAGAAAAAAAAGAATTGCATGATAATTTTTTTTCCCAAAGGTCATATTAAAATGCTTTATGTGTTAATGATAGACCAGACTTACTGCCTTTAAACAAAAGTTCAGAGAGAACTCACTGGTGGGGCAGAGGTAGAACAGCAAACAAGACATAGATACTTCTCTCAGAGTGAGCAGCAGCAGGAGATTGGCAAAAATGATTTTAACTTAGTAGCATCACTGCAGAGAAGCTTAAGCTTCTGAGCACACCTATCAGCCCAATGGCAACACTAAATAGACCTTAACTTCACTGTCTCTGCTGGCAACATCCATACCAGCTGCTTTGCATCTAAGGGCACTGACTACGGAGGCTATTCATCTAGTCAATGTCTTGTATACTCTGAATGACTCTGCTTAGAATAGTCTCTCACATAATTTGTCAATGCTGTACCACTTTCAGTACATTAAAGCATAAGCAAAGGGGTACAAAATGAGTTTTTGCTGTGGTTTGGTGTGGTGTTTTGCTTTTTTTTTGGAAAGGACCTTTTTTTCCTTGATTGTGTTGTGCATTTGTTTAAAGAATTTGAGTTTTCTGCATTGAAGAGCGGCACCCCGTTAGAAGTTCTTCAGCTGGTCTAGAGTAGGCGTCCACATTTGTAGAAGTGATATGGCACCTTAAAACCACACCTATAGTTTATTGGATAATGAGTCCATATTGTTGTAACTACACATCCACTCCAATTAACTTTCAAATGCTATTAGATACTTTGACATGTAAAAAAGCAACTGCAAAAAAGGTATCTTATTAGATAGTGTTTACTGATAAAACACAAGGCTGTTCAATATACATATAAGGAGGAGAGACTATTTGAAATACATATAAAACCATCTACAGGGGGCAAAAACAAGGTAAGGATCTAAAAAAGGGAGCTGCCAACGGCCATTACAACTCCACACTGGGAGGTATGCATAACATGACAGATACTCAAGAGGAGAAATGCACTGTTAGCATCTCATAGAACACTGAAATCTAGTGAAGAATGGAAAACAATAGCAACAATACCTTTGTTAGTGCATTAAGTCCTAAAGCTGTTGCGACAGCACCCGTGGTAGCAGAAACATAGGCTGTTCCCAGCTGGCTAAAACAAAAATAAAAGTGTTTGCACATGCACAACTACTACGTTTATGTCACTTTTAAAAATAATTACATTTTACACATGTAGTTATGCCCCCTCAAAAGTTAAGAAGTAGACCTTTCTGTGACACTGCAATAAGGGGTGGATGGAAGATTCAAATGGGACACTAAATTAAACACTTTTCTTACCCTAGCAGTAAAAATCACATGCAAGCAACATTTTAACATTGAATCAAGTTCTGCTGGTTCTGCATTGCTATCTGTTCAGCATTTTCTCATGTGTCTGAATGAATACCTTGAAGGATGTAGTTCTGTTGTTACTTTCCTAATTGCTTAAGCTAATAAAATCAGTTTGGATCTCTAAGGCCATGTCTACAACAGTAATTAAAACCAACTGTACTGAAACCCATACATGCAGACCAGCTATGCAGCAAACACCCAAACCCAGCCCAATCTGCCCTACAACATACTTTACATACTTCTCAGCTAAAAGGTGTCTGTATATTCTCAAATCCACTGCTTTCTCCCAGACATCTATAAGCAAATCATCCTCAAAACCAGGAAGTAAAGAACTGCAACTCCAGTCTCCTGTTCATGATTTCTAGCTTTCTGCATCTATTTAATCTCTCTTTGCCTTCAAGTAGAAACAAGTACTGCGCAGACCAGTTCCTTGAAGGGTCCTCTTTTTGTGAATAAGCACACAGTGTGGTGTGTGCTATAATGCAGGTGACTGAGAAGATGACACAGACAGACACGTGCAGGTCCACACAAAAAATCAACTTAGAAAGATCCTGGTATAACACCAAACTGATGAGGCACTTTAAAAATGTTGATGGAGCAATGCAACACAGACTCCTGTTAAATCCTATGCTTTAAGTGCTTATGTTCAAGGTGCTTAGGTTTATCTTTAATGGCAGAAATGGAGTTCTGGCCTCCATCATTCTCAGACTTCTCATCTGTGCATATCAAATTAATAATAAGCATAAATGAAAAAACTTATCCCTCTATCACCTCAAACTTTAAAGCCCAATCATGTTCTAGTACATCAGAGAGTAATTCATAAACTCATGAGAAGTATCTGGTTCAATATCTGACCTGACAGTAATTGGGGCATCACCGCTCCTGTTTGTGTAATTTACTATAGCGTTGAAGGACTGGTTAATCCACTGCCAGAAAACCACCGCTGGTGTCGTTCTTGAAAAGATAAAAAATCATTATTATTAAAAATACAGTTGAATCAACAGCACAGAAAAACGATGGCAAATCAAGAAAAGCAAGTGCAAGTAGTAACCATGAGAGGTTCTCGTTTATCTGAATGAAAAAATACAGTCAATGAGATACTATCTTAATAGCGAAAGTACAAGCTACTGCTAAGAACAGAATTTTAAAGCATTATAATTAAATAGCAAGGTTCACTTGGTACAAAGGTTTGTTGTAATAACAAAAGCGTTATAGCAAACCTCTCTATAAACAACATACAGAGAAATATGGAACTCTAATTTCTAGAATACTTTTCCAGGGTTATTATTCCTTTACAGTCTGCTAGTTTTCTTCAGAAGCTCTGTAAGTGACCGAGAGGTGGATTTTAGGAGACATGGTTTATCTTCTCAGTCTTCAAAAAGCAAATATGATGCCATTGTTTTAATAAATCCTTGTGACATTAGAACATTCAGTCGTGTGTAGAATCAGATAAAAAGACACTTAACTCCAAAATGAAAAATTATTTTCATTAAAATATCTGCATGTTTAAGAAGTACAGGTACAGCACAGAAATTAATCTGGTTCAGTACAGCATGAGCTAGATGACCGGTCATGAAAAAAAAAAAAAAAAAGAGCTCCAAGCAATCCTCATAAATTACGTCAGCGCCAGTATGCCCATGCCTTAGGACAAAAAGGTGCTAACTCATGAGCATGGGTGGGGCGCAGTGAAAAAAAATATATTCTGTACAAGTTGCAAAGTCCTCATTTAACAAGCTAATTTGGTCCCTGTTAAACTGCAGATATCATAATTTTACAAATGGTTATGCTGATAAGTAACAAAAGGGACAGTCAATTTGTTTCACGATGTACAGTGCTGTCTTGTGGAGGGATGAATGCTTTTGCTTTCAAACTAGTAGTACCACTAAACAAAGAGACACTGCACCCTGAGGATGGTGGTAAATAGCTCCTTTTCAAAGTGGCAACCTGTGACAAGTGGGGTCCCCTAAGAATCGATATTGGGCCCGATGCTGTTTAATGTCTTCCTAAGTGATCTGGATGATGGGATCAAGTGTACTGTGACGAAGTTTGCTGATGAGGGTGGTGAAGGATTGGAACGAGTTGCTCAGAGAAGTTATGGATGCCTCATCCCTGGAAGTGTTCAAGGCCAGGTTGGATGAGGCTTTGAGCAACCTGATCTAGTAGAAGGTCATGTCTGCCCATGACAGAAGAGTTGGAACTAGATGACCTTTAAGGTCCCTTCCAACCCAAACCATTCTATTATTCTATGAAACCAAACTAAGTGGGGAAGGGGACACTTTGGAAGCAAAAGCCACACAGCAGGAAGAACTAGATAGGCTGGAAGAGTGGGCTAACAAGAACCTCATGAAGTTCAACAAAGACAAATGTAAGGTCTTGCACCTGGGAAAACATAATCCAGGAGTGCAGCACAGGCTGGGAGCTACCTGGCTAGCAAGCAGCTCTGTGGAAAGAGACTTGGGGCTCCTGGTGGACAACAAACTTAGTACGAGTGAACAGTGTGCTGCTGCGGTAAAGAGAGCCAACAGGATGCTGTGTTGCATCAACAAGGGTATCACCAGCAGAGATAATAAAGAAGTCATTATTCCACTCTACTCAGCACTTGTCAGTCCACACCTGAAATACCATGTCCAGTTTTGGTCTCTGCTTTACAAAAAAAGATGTGGATGGGCTGGAGAAGGTCCAGAGAAGGGCCACAAAGACGATCAAAGGACTGGGAAGCCTGTCATATGAGGAACCATTCAAAACAGCTGTGCCTTTCTGAAGTGTGAGTCAAGAATTTGTAAAATCTCAGCATTGTAAATTTCCTTTGAACCTCCCACCAGCTCTTCCTAACAAAGTGTTGTGTCACAAAAATATTTCTAACATTGAGTCTACCAATAGATGATACTGACTTCTGCTGTGGGCTTCACTGTATTGGTGATTCAAGAACTACTGAGAAAATGGAAGGATCAAACAGGAAATGGAGAAACCTGATGACTGATGGACTGAAGCATACCGAGTACTCACTTGGCAGAGAGAACATCCTACATGGCAGACCTCTAAGGTTAGAAATTGCCAGGTATCTCCTCCTCTTTGTCCTCCACACAACTCTCCTACAAGGATGGGATTTTGGAATATTCAACTTTCCCCGTTTGAGGAAAAGCGGGATGGCGAAGGAGAGGGGCTAAGGGCTTATCTGACAAGTAATTCTAGAGGAAATCATTGATCAGTGTGAGGGAATGCAGAGAGAGAAGAGAAGAGAAGAGGAAGCAAAATTTTACTTTAGAAAAATATTATAATAAATCTTCTAAAATGCTCTTTTGACAATAACATTGATTTTTCACTTATGTAATTTGTAGGCAAACGTTTTATGTGTTATATTGCAATCACTTACCTATAAAAGGTCATCATACAACCTGTGATAGTCATGTTCATGGGTACCTGAGCTGACATTCGGCCAATCAAGACCATCTTTTCACCAGTGTCTGGGTGAAAGGCTGAATCATAGATATATTTTGCTCTCCATAAGTCATCTTCTGTCAAGCCAGGTGCCACAATACCTTGTCTTGGGACAAGTTAAAAAACAAAACAAGACAACAGCAAAAAACATAACTGTTATAAAATGGTGCAACTTCCAATGCCATCAGAGGATTTTGGGATGTTCACAATAAGTTAATCTAGCCTCACAGTTAGCTTGTAGATTTTTAGCTTTTAAACAGACTTGTGAAGTAAAAAGAATCAAAACTCCCAGCAGTGGTTATGTTGGCTGAGTCAATATATCCAGCACCAAATTTCTATTTACTCAAACTTGTATTAGATTTTAGAGCTAAAATGTAGAGCTAACATCTCTGGAGTCATTAGCGGGAAACTTTGAAAATTTACTTTGCAAGTATTTAAGAAACGACTTGCTCCAAACAATGTAACACCTAAGAGGAAGTTTTAAACTCTGTTGTCATATTAACTATTTTCAGAATTAGACTCATCTGTATTTCAGAATACTTAATAGGGGTTCTCAGATGACGTAATTTCCCCATTCATTAGCAAATTTGTTTTAAAAAAAAAGTTTTTCAAGCTCTGAAATAAGAAGAAAGAGTGGTGCAATGAATAGAGTGTTTTAAATATTTCCTTTCAAATACATGACCATGTACTTATCATTGACATAGGCTTTTTTGGGCCAGCAGTAAAAGTGATCAATGCCATACCTGTAATCATGCACAATTTTTCTTGCATTTTCCAGCTGAGCATCAGACAACAAAATATTCCGGGGGTCTGTTACAGTAAAGAAGTGACTGGCTCGTCCAACAAAAGTGCTCTGATCCCATCGGGGCTCCTTGATATTAATATTTAGTGGTATATCTGCTGACATCTTCAAAAATTCTGTGAAGAAAACACAAGGATTTTCAATTCAGCATTCCACTTTTTTCATAATGTATCTATAACCCGCAAGATGAAAAGTGGTTATGCTTACAGTAAAAAACCAGAGAACACCAAAGAACTTGTAGAACGGAGCTTTAAAGGGACAAGTATATATCCAGAAAGCAGATGATGTCAAATATTGTAATGGTATTTAATGAGGTTGGTATTGATAGAAGTGAAAAAGCTACAACTTAGTTAAATGTCTACGGAAATGTTTCTGTGCCAGTTTCCTCAAGACATTTCTACATGACATCTTTGTAAGAGTACGAGCATCTGATTATGAGGTAGAGGTACATCATACACACGTACAAATATCTGAGGACGAGGCAGATGCAAAGGAAGTGTAGAAATGTATTAGTAAGTAGCTGTACTAAATAACGAGAAGTACGCTTTATTTCAGTGATGAAATACTGTTTGCTGAAAATACTGTCTTGAAGGGAAGGAGAAATTAAATATTTCAAGAGATGCTTGAAGTGCTATTATAAAGTGCAGTGACAGAAGAAATATTTAATAAAATCCAGTTAAATTCTCTGGCATGGCAAAACAAACAACAATCAGGAACACAAACCCAACAATTTATTTTAATAAATGTTGTTTCTCTAAATCCACGTTTTAACAAAACAAAGATTATATAATGCAACAATTTGCCACATTACGAACACATGACCAGATTTCCTAATGACACTTCAAAGATGGTTAAAGAACTACAATGAAGGACACTGAACTAACATAGTTGTGCGTTTATGGGGCCTAAAGCCCAGAAAATTAAAAATTACTTCAGGATGACAAAGTTTACTTTGACACCTAATGAGAGAAGGACACTCCCTGCATAGTACGAGCTACATGATCTTTAACTTTCTTAAGAAAAATTTCTGCAACATATTTAATAGCCAGTTAAACAAAACAAAAGCCATCTCCAAATAATGCTTGTAATTCAAATGGCTGAGCTAAATTTGGTCTATAGAAATACAGATGATATCACAAAGCATTTACCTATTTTAATAGAAAAACCATAATCATTATAAGCACAACTGATACATATGGTGTAAGCTGCCACTGAAGAGTATTTTCATCTTAACTCAAGAACACCGTGAAGTTCTCTGAGACATTTTGGTCAATTTGATGAAAACTTATATGATGCAGAACAGAAAAAAAAAAAAAAATCACAAAAATCACAAAAAGAAAGTAACTGATCAGGTAAAGTGTCTCCATCATTAAAAAAAATGAACTTCACGGGAAAAAAAGAAGAGATCATTTATGAAATCTGAAGAAGCTATTGTCCATCTCTCAAATGCAATCATGATTCTTCTTCTCCACCTCAAATGGAAATACTTGGAAATCTTTGGAAAAGTTAGCTTCTACAGAAATAAAGGCCTAAGTCTCCCTGTCTATCATAAGCAGCCCTAAATCAGCAGCTTTAAGAAAAAGAAAGGAGGAGGAAACTAATAAATATTTAGAAGACACTACAGAACAACATTTCTAGCCAAAGAGAAAAAGAAAATAAAAGAAACAATAATCTGTTCTTGAAAGTGAGCTAAATCAGCTCATAGTCGTACAAGAAGGAGATTATCCACCTTTGTAACTTCCCTCACTGGAACCATGAGATCAACTTTGTAAGCAGGCGAGGACTGTGTAAAAATTATTCTGCCTTGAACCACTTATCAGTCAGAATTGCCCTAAGAGTGGGAAGTATTCAGGGAACAGACTGTCTTCCCTGTGTTTACTCAGATTTGGCATTTTTATGGTTATGCAATAGCACAAGCATGACTCTTATTTAGGACTTTTGTGGTTGTTATTATTACTGGGGTTTAATTACAATGAAAGCCTAGTGACCACATATTATTTTATGGTGTACCATACATATGTTACAGGAAATATTTGATATTATCTGCCAGGAAGACCCGCCAATGACTCAGATTGCTCAAATCCTTCCCAATGTTCTGCGTGCTCATCACGTCCATAGAAACTGTGTACGCATAAGCACGATGGCACTGAGCACCAGACATGACCGTAAAGCTCTAAAGATCAGGTAGCAAGAATGCAGAATAACTGCATTATAAATGAAGATAAGCAATGTTTAAAGAGAGTTTGGCAAATATATCCTACTCAGCACGTGGCAACAAAGAAAGCAAAGTAACCTCCTGCTAGTACACCAAACTTTGAGAACCCAGGATGGATTAAATAAATAATAAGGAAGGGTTGCCCTTCACAATCACAGCGTGATTAACAGCTGAATGATGAAAACGTCATATCTCAGCTAGTATTGCTAAATAAGTTTGTTAAAAATTTATTAGAAAATCCTAATTTGGTGCCACTCAATAAAAATGTCCTTCCTTTCGTACATTTACTGGTAATTATACAAAGTTTCTTTAAATTAAATAATCAGTTTCTATTAAAAAAAAACCAAGGAGTTTGTTTTCATCAAATGAAAAAACAAAACAAAGTATTTAGGATGTTTATGTATTATTTTTGTGTTTAGTTTCTATTATTTGCAATAAAATAGTAAAAAACCAAAAGCATTAAATAAGAAAGATCTGTTTTCCACCAGACTCAAGCTCTTCCTTGAATAAACAATCTCCAATTCCACTGAACAGATCTAGTTATTGAATTTTACACAAGCTAAATCAATTTGGTTAAAAATCACACAAAAACTATAACTACACAGATATTTCTGTGTCCTCCTCTCTAAATTTTTCTGACATCAGGAGAAACTCAGAGCTGTATTGGCAAAGCAGAGCTGTTTGCCTTTGCAGTGTAGAGAGCAATTCTGTAAAACAAAGCTGTGTTTCTACAGATATTGCTGAATTCTAGATAATCATGTACTGGCAGCATAGGCTGCAGGTAGGACACCAGCAGGATTGCTTTTGCTATTTCCTGATAAACTGTATTAAGAGCTTAAATGCTCAATTAATCCTTTCCAGACAAGTTTAAAATTCCCAGTTTCTACTCCAAGTCATGATGTGCAAGGTCGTTTCAAAGACTCCCGAACCAGTATAACTTCTCATAGCTTTTAGTGCAATAATTAACACCCCTCGGTTATTTGACAAAAACATAAATCATTCTGAATGCTTGAGTGGATAAAGGAAAATATACTGAAATATCCCCAGAAAATGGTACCGCTAAAAACATGTGAACAGTACTGGTCATATAAGGGTACAACGAAGACTCCCACAGTGCAGTGTCTTCTATCCCATCAGGTGTATATTACATGGAATATGAGCTATTTTTTGCAGTAATTATTGTATAATTTTAGTTTAATACATTAAAATTGTATTGTGAGATGCAACAGAAGAATACACCGATTGTATTTGGTGAATGTTACGAATATTTAAAAGCTATTTGCTCTATAGTGTTTCACCTGTTGAGGAAGTGATCCACTACTGCATAGAAATAGCTGTCAAATATGTGTTTCAGTTATTAAAATGAACATTGATAAATTTATTTAATATTATTAGATCAGACCTACTGAATACACTTTCTTGCTCTCTCATGACGTCATTTTTCCCTAGAGGCGTTCAGTTTTTCTCTGATAAAAGAGACCTCAAGACAAGTGTATTGTTCCAAAGGCCTGTTCATGTACTAAACTTTGTAGTAATTAACTCAAATAAGTAAGCATAAAGCAAGTATACAAGAAGCATCAGCACTGCTGCTGCAACTTACAGTAAATACAGTCACGATTCAACTATCCTCAGATCTTAAAGTTTCACCACCAAGTTCGGAAAGGTCCTAATGCTTCCCAGGACTAGAAGACTAATAAATGTGGTACAGTAGGAGAAACTAATCTTTTCCCCCTCCCTCCACTCCCATTTCCCTCACTGTTAAGTTTTTTATTGTATGGCAGCTTTTATTAACATCTTTATTACATGCTGAGACAGGATTTCCCCATAACGAAACATTAAATCTTACAAACTTCAAGGAAATATGGTGCCATAGCAATATATAATTTACTAAGCTAAACTTGAAGCATGAAGGTATTTGTATAATAATTTTACATAACTGACATTAGACCAGTAAAATCCAACACTACTGGTTTTTGCAAATTATTCCAAAGACATTCAGAAGTGTTACCAGCTTTTCAGCACTGTTAAGGAGCATCGTTCCCCCCACACCAGTAAAAGAAACAGACAAAATTGAGTAACATAACTTGGCTCAAGATCACAGGTCAAGTCAGAAATTACAGCAGAACCTAGACCTCCTGACTGTGAACCTGTGCTTTAAGTACTGCTGATATGGCAAAACACAAGTTATTATTTCACAGAAGTAACGACAAGAGATGGAGGCGCTGGTTAAGAAGCAGAGAATTCATCCCTCACTTCCAGTTGAATATTCTTGTCTTTCTATTCCACATTTCTGTTTGCTATAAGTACTTCCACACTTACGAAACAGTTTGAAACACCACAATGCAGAGACATCCGTGGATTAGTACGATTATTTTTGTGTGACACATTTCTCACCAGGCACGTCGCAGAATGAACACAGATCAGGGAAATGAAAAAGTCTCGGGACAGATTTGGAGAACTGAGTTCTCATGCAGAACACCTGAAAAGGAGATGCTCCTTATGTTTCTTTTCCCTTTCTTAGTACTATACCATTAAAGACACCCTCCCATGAACAGTGACATATCGTGAAAAAACAGATCATCTTCTGGTCTAAAATGGTAACAGCTGGTTTTACAAAGCAGTACCCTATGAAAGCAAGGTGAACTTGTTCATTCAAAAACTAATTTCCACTAAAAACAAATTAGGGCTGGTAAGTTGTTCTATGAATGTTTCCCTGTTGGTATATTATTTGTGGGAAAGTCCAAGTTTCAGTATTTTTATAATTAAATCACCAGTTTCATTAAGAAAGATTAAAATCTGCTTAGGATAGCTTATGTTAATCCGTTTAAAGCTGTTAAATGAATGCTTAATAAAGCAGTCTGTAATTAGGAGCTCTTTTCTTTCTTTTCACTCCGAT